ATTCCCAGCTATTTTTAAGAAAAAGTGGGGTTATATACTTTGGGACATTTCCAAATGATACATGGAAGAGATTACCATGTGATTTTATGGTGTCATTTTTGCAGCAAAACACAAGGTATTTAGCAGTCAAAGAATGGCTTGTAAGAGAAGAGTTAGGAGATGAATGCTTTATCTTTCTTCATGCAAGGCACACACTATTAAGATTCTTCACAAAAAAATCTAATGAGCAGCATGTTCATATGCACGCGTAGGGTTACACAGTGCATCACACCAGGTACATAAACCCTTTAGTTGAATAAAATCATGTTCTCAAGTTCCATACACACTGTTAACCTTCACTGCTCGTATATTGTTACACAGCCATGCAATAACACAGAAAACCCAGAAAAGCCTGAAATACAAGTTTTCCATCTTGTTACCTTTTCTTCCATCTTTTCATCACTCAGATACTGTGCTTCCTGCACTTGCTTCAAAGCTTCATTGGATAATAAGCTGTAACTCTCCTGGAGGGATCTGATTTGCTTTTCCATTTCATTTCTCTCTTCATCTGTCATTCTATTAAAAACAGAATAAATAAATAAGAGGTAGAGAGAAAAGGAAAAAGCTCTGAGTATTTCTTAAACTGCAGGGAGTGATCTGTGAATCTTTTTTAAAAGACTAAAAAATCATGCTTCTTTTGACATAGTATGTATTATAACAGAATGACAAAATACAGCTGGATGCAAAAAATACAACTTAGTTATGAAAATGCTCCAGAAAACTATAATCTGCTTGTCATTCTACAGGAAAACAGCTACACTAATCAAAAATTTACTCTGAATCATCACTATAGACAACAGACTGTCACTTGTACGTGCCTCTGTCTACTATTAACCAATCCAGACAAGTAACATAGATAGCAAAGATTCATGAAAACCTCAGTAATTGAGTATCTTAGATAGTCTGATTTCAGAGATAGATAAAACAAATTGTGACACATAGTTCAAGCATTAATTTACTATTACGGTTAATTATTTTGACTTCAAATACAAGTTGCTATCTAATGTGTGTTTTTACAAGTTGCTATCTAATATGTCAGAGATATATAATTCTTAAAAAAGTCTAATCAAGGTTTTCCCAAAATGAAAAGACAAAAATATAAAACTGAGAAAAAAGCTGCCGTCCTCATATGTAAAATATAATGGGCATTATAAGATGACAACTAGTTCTTTTCAAGCAAACACTACATGCTGATTCATTTACATTATTTGAAAAATAATAAGCATAGAAATGGCATACTTGTCACCATGCTTGGCTAGAAATGACTGAGTAGTCTGCAGAGCTTCAGCTATTTGTTCCTTCTTGGTTGACATTTCATCCAGGGAAATCTGAAGAATAAACAACACATGCTTAAAACTTAGTTAGGCACATACGTTGAAAGAAAAAAAAAAGCAAACATTACATTTCCACTTAATATAAAACTGTACAGAGTAATGTAAGAACTTGTCTTTTTTAAAAAAATATTGGCTATTATCAATACTATATTATTTACTGTGGCAGAAATAATATCTTTTACATACAGATAAGTCACTGAACAAAGCCTTCTGGTTCGGTAAGCTGTTTGTATCAGACAGCTACTTGGTAAGACCAATAGAATTTATTTTAAAATGTCAGTTGCTTAAAACTTCCATAACACTTAACTAATTATTTAAAATCAATTGTGACTATAGTTGATGCAGTTTAGAAAATTTTTGGAGAAAGATGAATATAATAGTCATGTTCAAGAACTCATTCACTTCTCAGGATGAGGATAATTAATAGCTTAAAACACTACCATAGAACTTTAAGAAATTCAGTGACAGACATATACAGTATTAGAATTATTTATTAAATATTCTCCCTGTCATCATTTCTGCGGTATTCCTACTAAAGTAGTGGTTCCAGCAGAGGAATTGGCAAGAACTTCACCTTTGTTTCTGAACTTCTGTGCAGAAGTGTCTGCAGTTGCTTCGCACAAAAGGGCTACCCTTGCTTTGGTATGACCAAAATGCAAAGTCTCAGGGGGGTACCAAGAGGTAGTTTTGTGAGCTGGGAACGAATACAACACAGGTGCTAAAACACCCCAAGAAGATGCTCGGGCCCCAAGTTCAAGCAGGTAAAACCCATGGCCTGACACATTCTGTCCCTGCGTTCACAGCACCAAAGGGTACTGTGAGTCTTGGACACAGTCTCCCTGTGCAGGCAGCACCAGCTGGCCAGCTTCCCACCACCTCAGGCCTGGGGCATGAGTGAGCAAGCCCAGCACATCATGTAGAGATCTGAGCAGGCCTGAGGCAGCACATGGGGCCAGGAGCTAGGGGAACATTACAGCTGCTCCATGCACCCCTTCACTGCGGGCAGAAGCCTCCCCTCAGCTCAGCCACAAAACCCAAACCTGTCTGTGAAATTTCTTTGAGCTAACGTTAACGATCAAATCACTAATCCCGTACATTTCCACACAATTTTCAAGGCATCCTTGCTTGGTAGCCACTGAGGACACACTAAGCCCCACTCTCTCTCTAACGCTGGATCTCAGGCCCATTTCACAGAAGCAGGAAGCACAAACTGGAAATGTCCATCTCCTCTGCTGGTGGTAGAGAAAGTCAAAGGAGGTGAGAAGAAGCCAGGACAGCTCAGTTGCAGGTAATTTTCTAAGAGCTCAAGGTGGATGGCAAGACACCATCCAGAGCTAGTTACCATGGCAGCTTGCGATAGCTTAAGGAGTTGACTGCTGGCCTAATGCTCACAAGGATTTTCACCGTTGTCTTTAACAAGAGGAAAAAAAGGCCAGTACTGAATGCTTTTTCATATCTCAGTCCTAAATAAACTTTCAAATCACTAAAAACACACTTTGTCCTGCAAGTATAGGAACAAACTCAGTAGCAGAAGTGGCACTGGAAGTCAGTGGTTCTGTACCACAGTGTGAGCAGAGCCTGCACGAGTACCCAGTGGCCTGGGGCTGGTGGCAGGGTCTCTGCCTGGGGGGTTGGACTGGCGGCCAACACCAAGCTTCATTTCTAGCCCTTCTGCTCCAGTGTCTTGAGCTGGCACCAGTGCGTGTGACCAACAAAGCACAGGAGGTTGCTTGAAAGATGGGCTCAAATCAAGTCTGCATGACCACACACGCAGCCCCATATCTGCATCTGAGTACCCAATCAGGAGGCAGGGAGATCTTTACTTACTGAAATCCTTTTAGGTATTTATTAAGGGTTTTTTTGTTTGTTTGTTTGTTTTCTTTTTTTTTTGTGCAGGCCTAGACGGGATGCTGTTTGAAATGATAAGGAATTTCACAGGTAGAAGTTTATGGTTGGAGTAACAACAGTACACAACAGCAAGAACACCATCCCTGCTAAATACAAGGCAGGCAGCACAGGCCACCCCAGCAACCTGTGCACTACTGTGATAATAAAGGGGGCTCAGTCAATAGCCTCTACGTTCCCTTTCTTGCTAAGGCTGCAGTATTGAAGTGAACACCTGCTCAGCTGAAGACTTTCAGCTACCATGTCACGAGCTACTGGCAGGAGGAGTCCTCAGGATACCACCTTTTTAAAAGCTAACAAAAAGAAAGTTAGTCCCTGGGCACCTCCAGGCAGCTCCCTCCTTCCTGGCGCCTGGGTAGAGGGTACCAGGCCCGGTTCAATGAGTCGCATTGAACTGTGTCAGGATAAGGGAGCAGAGAGGATGCTCAGTCCCTACACTGAGGCTATGCTGAGGGGTGCAGGGTAATGCTTTCTCTAAAACTACTTACACGCCAAGACTGCTTAGGCAAGTCTTGACATGCATTTCACTAAAGCCCCAGCTTTCTCCACATCTTCTCAAAATGAGATTTTGCACTGGCAGTAACGTGTTTGTGTCCCAAAACATTGATGTTCATTTACCTAACACACCCCTGGCAACCAAACACTGAAGGACATCTTTAATCATGTGCATGTTGACTTGGAGGAAGCAAAAGTATTTATGGAATATTTATACATTTTAACACAAAAAGCTGAAAAGAGGAAGCGGTATTCTATCAAAAGACATCTGTGTACCTGCTGCTTAGGCAAGTCTGTCTTTTCAGCATTTTCTCCTTCTTCCTTGCCCAGGGTCTTGCTGAGGTTTGACACCCATTTCAGTAAATCCCCAGCCTTCTCAACATGTTCTTTCTTTTCTTCTTCCATTGACTTCTGATGAGTAGCATGAATTGTAAAGAACATATAAATTGATGAGATATTTAACACTAACATCCACAGAAACGTAATTCTATCATAATGTCAGTATTCCCACATAACCATAATTTATTTTTATTTATTCACCGCATGCATTATGATGACACTTTGATGTAGGAACAAAAATGTCATGCCATTATACACATTAACAGAATAATTCCTCCTACAGATTTGTAAAGATTATGATGCTTATTCGTACACATGTACAGTCATTATAAAATGATTGATATTACAGAAAAAGCATAGCTTCTCAGCCATTAATCAACAGATAAAATCCAAACAATATTTGCATACCAAGTATATTTGAATTGCTGCCTTTGCATTACCCTCAAGTGTGTAGATGTACAACCAGCACAGAATCGCAATATTTTGCTATCTATGCACATGGATTTCCAAATTACAATTAAGAAGAACATGCTGCTTTTACACCTGTTCAAACAAGGACAATGCAAGTAAAATGCTAAAAATATATGCATATATATTTTTTCCTCAGAGGAAAATACATTTTTTTTTGTCCAGTAATAGAACATGGTAGCAATCTGCATTTTATCAGCACTTAGACAACAAACTTAAACTCTTTCCTAAATCACAGGTAAAAGTGAGGACATTTTGTTTCAAGAAATATTTTAGAATTGGGCATGCAATTGTAATTAAATCTCCTATTAGAATCTGAAGCGTCAACTATAATTTTCCTCAGAGGTCAAAGAGATTATTTCCCTGATCAGAAGGGATTTCAGGTGGGGCCCCGAAATGACTGCTCACATCTTTGTTCCCTTACGAAGCAAAGTAAAGACTGGAAATTCCCGTCTTCAAAGGCTGAGCGGCTTCTAACAGGCGCAGCCCAGTGTGGCAGTCAAAAATGGCTCTCTCTAAAGCCTCTTTGTAGGTTAACTTCTTCTTTGTTTTGGGACATGTTATAAATTTAACATACAGTTTTTCATCTTTCAGCTTTGTAGCCGTGATAGCATCGATAACACCATTCTTAATTGCCTCTTCCATTGATAACCTGGAATGAGATTTTGGATCTATCAGCCCCCCAGTCAAGTACTGGTACTCCAGGCAGCGACCACCCGTTTCTTTGTCCAGCACATTTACATTCATGGCTTCGATAGCCGACATGGCTGTCTTCCTTACAGGGTGAATGATCCCAGTAAAGACCAGCTCACACTGCTGAATTTGCTTGGCACAACCATCATCAATTAATTCCCTTTGCAAAGCTTCTGAAATACTGTACCTCTTCCCAGTGAACGGATCAGTTATGCCTCCTGTACTGATCTGAGCTTCAAGACACCGGAGAGCAGTAATTCTATCTACCAAGTTTTTGCGTGAGGCTTTTAAAACTGGAATTCTTTCATTGGTTTCAGAGAGCCAAAACCCTGCAATAGGACTGTTTAGATCTTTATTTGTTTGAGAACTGCTAGCTAAAATATCGCCAAACTCAATAGCTGTGATGAGACCTTCCTTATATCTATCAACTAATGCTTTCTCAATTCTACCCTGTTTTAAGGCCTCCTCAATATTAAACTGTACACCAGTTTTAAGATCCGTAAGTAAAAGAAAAGAATTCCCATCGGAATCAAAACACGTAGACTCTTTCCAATCAAATTCCTGTTTTGAAAGTTCAAGATATGTGGTTTTATCAACACCTTTTTTTTGGTAAGCCTCATATGCGGTCATTTCAGCCCCTGTTTTGATGTCTACTACAGAAATTTTATGACTTTTATCTGCTGATGGGCTGCTTATTTTCCTTTCCCCAACTGGAAGCAGAAAACATTTACTGTTTATGCTGAACACACACATTTTCAGCAAATCAGAGTAGTACATAGCTTTCCTGTCATTTGGATTGTGAAAACATTTTGCATTACTAGAAGGTTCGTGCAAAAATTTTAAAACTGTGTTACTAATCAAACCAAGCTGCACTGCGATTTCTGGAGGGACCCGAACACTTCTTACAGGATCAATGACTCCTCCACTCGCAATTTGGGCTTCAAGGATATTTTTGCCTTTTTGTCTTTCTAGGAGTCTAGCTTCCATAGCCTGATACACAGATATTACTTTACCAGAACAGTAATATCCCAAAACAGCCTTTTCTGCCTCAAGCAATCTACTCCTGAATTCGTTATCTGCAAGCCCTCTAACAAGTGAATCATCGACAGAGAATTTCTGACCCGTTGTGGGATCAATGATGAAACCAGTAGCTGCTTGGGCTTCTAAAAATGCTAGTGCTAATGCTTTTCCTATGAGTTTTCTCTTTGCTGCTACAGCAAAAGAGACGATTTCTTTGCTCGATTCAAGGTACAGTCCAGCTATAGCTGTAGGTTTGGTTAGAAAGTTTTCGAGACTTTTCTGAACCTCATCAACAGTCTTCTGCCCTGAGCAGAGCTGCTCAACAGTGAGCCTGTCCAGAAGTTTAACTTCAACTAACTGTCTGGCTGTTACATCATGTCTGAGACCCTGAAATTTAATATCATCATGCTCCCCCATAAAATATTCCAACTGAGTAGCATCATTGACAGTTTTCAGAATCTCTTCCCCTAAGAAAGAACTCATGTTTGCAAAGTCTTCTCTCCTAAACCCTTCAGATGTTTTGCATCCCTCAAACATTCTCTCTTCATTACCAAAAGTCTTGTCATTTTCTTGTTTTAATGTTGTAACTTCAACATGCATGTCATACTGCTTGTTCTTCGCTCTCTGTAAACAGGAATTTTTTGACACAGTGAGAAAAATATCTAGAGAACTATATTGCACATAATTCAATCCCAAATCCACCACCAGAGAAACAGAATGACGAATGCGAGCTGGAGTTGGAAAAGAGAAATGTTATTAGCGCTGGAAAGCACAGAAACAGTTAGCTAGAGTTCTGAAATGTATTTGCCATTTCAAATATTTATTCAATATCAGGAACGTGGCAAGACAAGGCAACAATAATTCTTCTGAGTTTGTTACAATATAAGCTTAGTGCTATTAATCAAAGTTTATTTGGACCATCATCAGTATCAAATCCTATTCTGAACACAAATATTTAAAAATAAATAATGTGCTTGATATGTAAACGAGCTGCTGTAAAGGTTTAATGAAGATTTTTTGTGTTGTGTCAGAATGAAGCGGCGCCCTTCACCAAGGTAAGAACATAAGAAAGAATACAGAATAGGTATAAAGAATACCTAAAAAAGAAAAGTAGAGACGGCACTACGGAGGCAAATGCTCACAAAATGTAGTGTATACCTCCAAAGGATGCAGTTTTACTAATCCTAATTCATGCTTCATGTCTTCTCCACACCTAATAGTTTGCCTGGAACTATGTAGGTTCACGTCTCTCAGTTTGTCTATTTCTGATACGCCAGTAATTTGGCTTGCTTTATCAAAAGTGATCTGGAACTGCGTGCTTGTCTGAGAAACAAACTCCGTAAAAGACTGTGGACTTGCATCTTCTTCCAGGGATTGGTTTATTCTTGACAGCTGGAACTGCACCTCTCTTGGTACTGTATCGTCAGCACTCACGTACACTGTATTTTCCTCTGTTTGACCAGATTTAAAACCTGATCTCTCTTGTTTCTGCCTTAACAAAGGTGAATTAGGCTTTGCACGCGTATGGAGCTGCTCAAAATCTCTAGCTGAGGTGTCAGTCAGGTAACTGAAATCATTTCCTCTTCTCTCGCAGCTCAATTTAAATCCAGAATCTTTGATATCATTATTTTGCTGAACTTCTTTCTGAAACAATAGAAATCTGTGTTCGCCCTCCCTCGACTGCAGGTCCATTTTCTGTTTCAAGCTCTCCACCATGCGCTTCTGCACTTCCAAGTCCTCCTCCAGCTTCCTGCACTTCTGCAGATAGTCCATCTCAGCATGCTTCCCCTGCTGCAGCTGCTCACGACACTTTTTAAGCCTTTCTTGCAGATCTTCAACTTGCATCTTTTTTTCGACACATTCCAGTTTTATGCCAGAAATGTCTTTTTCTGTGATGCTATGGGATTCTAGTAATTTTTCCACTTTTTTCCTAAATTCCTCTGCAGAGTGTTTAAACTTAATGGATTCTTCCTGAAACAGAACCATCTTTTTACGTGCCATTTGTTCATCCAGAGTCTTCTGGTGGAGTTCATCCTGTAATTTTTTAAGTTTACTAGTTAGCTCTTGAACGTGAGCTTGCTGCAGTCGTATTTTCTGCTCATTCACTGTCTTTTCCATAGTTAGAGCATTCACTTGTGCATTTAGATTTTTAACCTCCAGGCTAATGGTTAGGGTGGAAGCATTTTGTTTATCATAATTTTGTTTATATTCATTGACTAAGGCTTTCGTTTTTGCTAGCTCATCCTCCAGGCTTTTGACTTTACATATGAATTCTTGCTCAATTATTGTTTGCTTGTGCAACTGTTCATTTGTTGTACGCAGTTGCTCTTTGAAACCATCTGCTAGTGTTTTCAATGCATCGTTTTTCCTCTGAATACTTTGCTTTTCCAGATTTATCTTCTCTGATTCCATTTGAATTTGTTTCATGAGTAGTTTTGTGTCAGTATTCCATTTATTAAGCTCCTCTATCTTTTGCTTCAGTGTTTCTGATGCCTGAGTGCTTCTGACTAATTTATCTTTCAACATCAGAATTTCCTGCTGGTTTTCCTTCTCTGCTTTTGTTTTGTGAAGCAATTGTTCCTGAATGTTCTTATACTGCTCTTGAAGATTGCTTGCTTCTCCTTTGCATGACTGTGTTCTGTATTCAGCTGCCACTTTCTCCTTCTGAAGTGAACTGATTTGTGAATTTAACTGGCTTATTGTGATTTCAGTTTTTGCCTGCGATCTAGTTAATTCCTCTATTTCTCTTTTCAGTTGGGTTTTCTCCTGCTGGGCAGATTTCAGCTCCTCCTGATAGTTCATCTTAATTTTCTTAAGATCTATAGCTTCTTGCATCACCTCATCAGCTTTATCCGTTGTTCTGTGCAGCTGCTTTTCCAGCTCTTTCAGTTGTTGCAAATATCCCTGCTCTACTTGGTCTTTGTCCTCCAACTTAATTTTTAGGCACTTAAGCGCACTGTTGGCTTCATCTAATTTTTCTTTTAATAAATTAGACTTTTCTTCTGCTGATGATTTCTGAAGCTCAATTGCATTCAGTTCATATTTCAGATCTTTAATGGTTTTATCAGCTTTTCTGTTGGCAAGAGCTAGCTCATCTATCTTCTGTCTCAGCTCTTCTACTTTTTTTGCTTCTTGTTTATTCTGGAAGCCTGCAATTTCAGAATCAGTCCTACATTGGCTGTAAGTAGGCAGGACAGTTTCGCAAGTTACACAATACCCGCCTTCAACAACCTTTCTTCTGGCTTCAGTCTTCTCTTTTTCTTGCAACTTTATTTCTGATAAATATCCTTTAAATTCAAGATCTTGTTCCATTTGCTTTATTATTTTCATAAGCTTCTCTTCTCCTTCTGTTTTGTTCTTCAGCTCCTGGATTAAGCATTTTTTTTGTTGCTCTAAATCATGAAGATTTGTGTCTTTTCTTCTTAGATGCTCTTCAAGGTTTCTTCTAGTGAAGGTGCTTTCTTCTATTTGATTTCGAAAAGCCCGAAGGTTTTCTTCCAATACACTCCTTTGAGTCTCTGCCTGGAGAATGAGCTGCTTCACATGCTCCAACTCCTGCTTTGCCTCTGCTTTCTCTTTCTCGAGGCCCTCTCGATCTATACGGCACTGTTTTGCCTCTTGCTCAGCTTTATTCTTTTGAAGACAGATCTCTTGCATGTCCTTTTGCAGTTTCTTCTGCTCCTTTTCGGCAGCTTCCCTCAGTTTAGGGAGTTCCTGTTCCACCTGGAACTTCTGTTTCTTCACATCCTCCAACATCTCCTCAAGAGTTTTTATCTTTCCTATGAGTTTTCTGTTCTCATCAATTGTGCTGTTTTGCTGTGCCGTTAGAACTGAATATGCTTCACGCACTGAGGCTTCCTTATTCTTTAAAATCTGTAAAAGAATAAGGTAAGTTAGAATCTACTTTTTGTAACACTGCATATGAAAAAAGTTAGGGTCTTTGAAAAGCAGAGTGGAAAATACTTACTCATATACGTATGTATGTCCAGAGAGGAGGACGAGCACTTCCCACCACCATCACCTTCTCTTGACACAGCAAGCTTCAGGAAGTAACCATTAGCCAAAGAGGAGACCCTTCACGACAACATCCACAGAGAGAAGTCCCGAGGACACTCACTTCAGCCAGAGGCCTCTTAGCAGTTAGCAGAGCAGCTTGCAAACGCTTTTTCTCCAAACAGACAGGTAGAGCACACAGTGAGCCAAACAAAATGTGGAAGTACAGGCAAGGAGAAAGTGGCTGGCCATTTCTGGATTAGTTTAGGAGGAGCTGGAAGTATTTAATGCTTGCAAGCAGAAATAACACAAAGAAGCTTGGAAATCACCTCCAAGGAAAGAAACGGCACCAAGAGCTAGAGTCTAGAGACATCGGTTTGAGGACAAGAAGTACCTGAACCCCTACTACACGTGCCCTCCCCAGCGTGCCCCACAGGCCCGCTGCCCCAGGGCAGGACTGCCGAGGGCTCCTCACGTGCTGGCAGGTCTTCAGATGTCAGCAAGCCAAGGAAAACGCTAAGAACATGGGGTATATTTACCACCAATAACGTCTGAAACCATACGTACCTCGTCTGCAGCAGCACCGCCACGGCGCAGTTACCAAATGTGAACCCACAGGAGGCCATGACAGTAGGGCATGAGGGGAAATTACAGCTTTCCTTTTTTTCTAAATAAGCAAACCTTACTTTTGTTCAAATTTAACAACTTGATTTTTCAGAAGAGATGTAAAACTTAATTCCTAAGAGGCTAATGCAAAGGCAGCTTTCATTACTTTTTCCATATTTCTCTTTGTACCTCCATGTGGACAATTTTGAGAAGATCCCAAAAGATATGAAACATTTAGATTAATTTCTTAAAAGATTTTATGCTCTCATGGGCATAAAAACTAGGCATTATACTTGAAAAAAAGATATCTGTAGATACAGATACAAGCACAAATTACGATTCTTTTTTAGTTTCCACTCTATCTAGTCAGCATGGCTAAGCATCAGCTGGGTAGGGGAAAGGATGGCAATTAAATAGCAATAAAAATGAACATACTGAAAATATTTAAGAACCTAAAATCATTTATAGCATCTTAAAATATATAGTAATTATATCACGAGTATAATATTTAAATTAGGTTCAATCAAATTTAAATCAGCTTGACCTTTGCATATTTTGAGATTCAAATGTTGATTTAGATTGATTTAAAATTATTTTTAAATTAATTGATTTACTTGTACTATATAAAAATGCTGGTACCTCAATAATATCTGTTTTCTTTTTCTCTTCATTATCACTGGCTTTTTTTTTTGGCTTTTCTTCTTTTTCAAGGGAGTATTTATTTCCTGTACTTTCACAGGCTAGTTTCTGGAGTTGCCTGTTTTTTCTAAGTATATTTGTGCTATGACCTTTATCTTCACTCTCCATTTTTCCATCTAGCAATAAATCTTGACATTTTTCTTGACCCTCTTCTAATTTGTTTTCTCCACTCAGCTTGTTCACACTTATATTTATGTTGTCTAAACCATAAATTTTCCTCTGCAAGATTTCCACGTCACTTAATTTCTCATCATGACTCAAAGGCTTTTTTCCTAACCCTGATTCTGAAAATCGAAAATAATTCACTCCTCCAGAAATGAATTCCGAGGGGGCTATTTTATCATTTAGGCCACCTGCATTTCTCAACAATTCTATACTTAAACTGGCATCACTCTGCATTAGAGGCATTTCTGAATTTGATGTACACAACTGAGAGACTTTTGCCACATGCCCATTTTCTGCAGTGTTCTCTGAAGATGTATCAGAAATTCCTTGAATTTTACTCTTGGCTTTATTTGGATTCAGATTTGATCTTCCTAGGATTTTATTTTCTGTAAAGAAGTAGCTTTCCTCCAGTTCCATGCAATGTTCCTCCGATGTTCCATGCACTTCGCCCGTATCCTTTTCTTCACTACCAGAAACACCTGGCTTGCCCACAGGTTGCAAACGTGACCTCACTGTATTTTCATGTGCATTTCCACTGCGTACTGCCAGTTCTCTGGAAGAGGATGCAACTTTTTCTGAAGGAACTGCACACCTCACAGCTGATAAGGAGTCAGCTTTTTCAACACCCACTTGAAATTCATCATTTTCAGAGTTTAAGGCTTTGTGGCTACTGCTTTCTGATAGGCAGTGTCCTTCATGCTGACCTTCAGAGAGCCTTCTTGCTGAAAAACACTGCTGCACATGAGGGTTGCCAGCCAGGGCATGCTTCCCCATTTCTGGAATAATTTCATCGTCCTTTTTTGTTAGCTCAACATCAGTCTCCGATTGCATTCCAAATTCTTCCTTTGTTGCAACACCGCTCCTCATCTTTTGTGAAAAATATTTTTCTTTGCTTTTACACATTGTTTCCAGTTCAGATAATTTCTTTGATATTCCCTCTGTTTTCTGGCTAACTCCAATAACAATTTGATGATTTACCATTTCAACAGGATCACTACTAAAACAGCTTGCAACTGAAACAAAACATTTTTTTCTACCCTTTTCTTCTTCTTTATTTTGATTGCCCACACTATTTTCTTGCACCGTATGTAGCTTATTTTCTGTGTCATCACTAACACCACTCTCTTGGCCAGTGAAATTCAAAAATTGTTTTAATGCTCTATCAGTCTGGATTTTATCATATGTGTCTACCTGAATTTTTAGTTCATTTTCGGCGCATGTAAATTTACGGGAAAAGTTATCTTTTTGCAAGCATTCCAAATCCATCAAGCTTTCATTAGCTGTGCTTTTCTCTCTCCGCTCAACCACTTCATTGCACTCCAAATGTGCAAGGACTTCAGTTGACTTCACAGGTTTCTGGAGCTCACTCTCATCTGGTAAACTCTGAGCACGATAGCACATGGATTAAACTGAAGTTTCATGGAAAGGATGTTATTTTCTATTTATTCTAAATGCCATTACTGAGAGTTAGGAAGAAAGACTGACAGGAGAAAATCTTGAATGATCACAGGAGATTTTGGAGTTCTGATCCCAGAAAAAAATTATTATTACCCCTTTGAAAAGGATTGTTCATGTTCTGATTTTCTACCCTGATTACAGGTAGCTCATCAGGAGCTCATCAGATCGCTTTGAAACTGGAAACATATTGAGGTTATCTCCAAAGAAGCTACCAAACATTTAGAGCTTTGTGCTGTTTTGTTTTTGTCTGATTGTCTATTTTTTCTTTCCAAAAAAAAAAAAAAAAGAAGTCCTGGGGATTTAGAAGAGAATCAAACTCGAGAGTTTAAAAGATTCCACTTGCTCCTGTGCAACAGGAAGCCAGCCTGTCAGCACTCAAAGGACACTGGTTCCCTGAATGTCTTGTTTCAATTTTTAATCTACGACAGCATTAGTATTATTAGCAATACTAAGTCCTCAGTTATAAGGCTCCTAATTGAAAAGGTTCATATATTTTAACGTGCATGCTATACCACCTCATGATATGCTAAGATCATATTATTTCTGTCATGTTATTTCTGTCATCTGTTTGTTCTGAGGTATTCACCATCAAGAGAGTGGAATAACACTTTCAGCACCAGACAAAGACAGCACCAGAATTACATAACATTCCTTCAAGAATCGAGAATGTTAAAACATATAGCCTTTTATTCACTAAATTTGTGTATAATTAATTGTATATATATAATTGGAGTATAATTAATATAATTTCTAATATATATGTAATTGATATACACATATAGAGTATACAGATTATACTAAAACATGATAATCCTTAAAAAATGAGCATTAAATCACTTTCAGACAGAAACATATTTGCGAAGAAAATGCAGAGCTCAAATGTATGTTTTTTCACTATTTGGAATGGGGATTCTGCAGCAAGTATTTGTTCTGGGTGACTTTTGTCTGCTCAATCGCAGTAACTTGCTGCTATTCAAAAGATTCAACATTAAGTATAAATAAAGTGTTACCTGACCCCAAAAAGTTAATAAAAAGGGAAAAGAAAAAAAGCTGAATATGTCAAAGAAACTTAAAAAAAATAAGATACTGCATGTCCTTGCATGCTGTAGACGTCCCAGTATGCATATTATGGAATATTAGGTTTAAGGAGAATACACACCCTGAGTTTGCCCTCAGCTTATTGCTTACATTTGCCTTAGAGATCAAACCCCATGATACTAAAACATTAAAATGTACTGTACGTAGCTACATCTCCAGCAGAATTTAGTGAGTCATAGGATGCTTTTCTCTGGAAGGACTGCTAAAATGTAAGGATGGCATGGGTTTGTTTATATGAATGATAAGGGTATAATCTAATACTTCTACCTTCCCAAATAAAATGCAGGATATCAGGAATTTTAGACACGTACATATGCTAACTGTGTGACCAGTACCAAAAGGTGGATTATTCCTGGTTTGTCCAGCAATTCCTCCTGCTTGCTTGGTTGGTTGGCTTTAAGGGGGTGACTTACCTCCTCCTCTTCCAGTCTTTTCAGAGAGTCCCCTGCAAACTTAATGTACTGGGTCATCAAGGTCACTAAGGCAGTATAACGAGTCCGTAGGTCCATGAACTGCAGAGATACAAACAAGGAAATGGAGATGAAACACTTACTGACACTGAATGCCATTCCTCAAGAGGGTGACACACAGGACTTCCTTAGAGCCTGTCCTGATTTTGATTCCAAGTCGCGAGAGAGACACAAACACTACCAAAAGGCTGCACCAGGACACTATGTCCTACAAACAATTACTTTAGCACCTAGACCAGTTCTGGGCTGCATCAGCTCTGCAGGCAGGTGACCTGCTCTCCTATGGCTGCGACCAGCAGAGAAGAGCTGTCCATCAAAACGATTAGTTTAACTAAGGGGTGGCCTTCCACAAGGCACCTCCTACACTGTGCAGTGCAGGGTCACGGTATCACAGAGTGACCGGCTGACATCAGCTGGACTGATGCTCCTGACCCAGGAAAATCCATTTGGAAATGAAAAAAAAAGCTTTCTGGAAAATCCATTCTTAAACTCAGCTCTGATCTAGCGTAAGGGAATGAGGCTAAAACTACAAACCTTAAGGAGAAGAAATGAGACAGAAATAAAATGTTTTGATTTCACAATCACTTGATTCTTGCCCCCTTTAGGAATACGTTACTGCAGTGACAGGCAGTGCCAACAACCCCTCTTCCCTCTGACAGTCACCAGGGAGCCAGATTTACCTTTCCCACATAAACGATGCTTCTGAATCTGTCACAGCATCCACATCTAGCAAGTTTTACAGAGCAAAGATGAGCGCTCCCACTGTTTGCTGAGACCCAGATACAACCCAAGGGTAATTCTAAACAGTTTTACTGATGTACATCTCACAAGCTTTTTTTTTTTTAACTTTTAATATAACTTTGCGGGGAGAGAGAGGATTATTCATCGACAGCAATATCTTTCTTCTAAATCTATCTATCTATTTATCTATATATGTATATTTATTGCAACATATCCCTGTGAAGAGTAAGATCATGCCTGCCTGGGTTACTCTGAAGCATTAATAAATTCTAAATCCCATGAGCGTTTCCTCCATTTTAAACACTAACTCAAAAAAAAAAAAGCTTTCCTCTCAGAAGAAACCTATTTACCTCCTGAATAATGAAGTCTGATGAGCTTTGCATTCTTCGGCGCTTCACTGGAGACTTTTGCTGGGAGTCGACCATAGCTCTATAGGTCATAGTCTGCAACTCATAGTCCTGTAAAAAGATAAAAAAAAACATTCTTAGAATCCTTTCCTTGGTGCCTGTATCATGTAGAACACTGATTATTTTGTTTATTTTATTACCTTCACAGCAGCCGAGTACTGTTCTGAATATTTCTGGCATTCGTCTATCTTGCTTTGCTTCATTTCAATCTCAGAAACCAACATCTACAAAATATGTACATATAAATTGTCATTAGGAAAAAAAATATGACTGTATATATTGCCATTATCACTATGGAATTGACATACTATGTTTATTTCCATGTGTGTATAAGTAATTATGTGTTCAAACCTATGCCCTGGACTTGTTAGGTGACAAAATAGCAACAGTCCAAAAATCCTGCCAAGTTTAATACCTGGTGCATGAACTTAGAAAAGGATTATATCATTTCATGCATATAATAATTTGTCATTCCGTTTGGTATTTAAGATGCATTTCCTTCTTGCAAGACAGAGTTGTTGAGTTTAGCCCTGATTCCATGAAAATATCTACATGACCATAGTTAGTAAGAGCAGTACTGAATAAAATGAGGCAATAAGGACATGCCAGATTTCTATGCAGTCTGTAGGACTTTGCCCTTTTGCAGATTTTAGAACCAAAAGGACATGGTCTGTCAATTGTCTATGAGCAGTAAATTAATGTTAACTGTTAGCAGTATTGTGAAAATAAATACAATAAAAATGGCAGTGATCCTGGATTTTAGAAAAAGTGTTGAGGGATACAAGTGCTTCCTTTGAAAAAAATCATTGACTTCTACTGATGTTTTAATTCTGCTTCAGTCTTTACATCAGTGCTTTCCTACAATGAGGAATCTTTCATACCTTATGTTGGTTCAGTTGTTTAGCCAATGCTTTGCTATTTTCAGGGTGAATTTCTTGAATCTTTCTCTGAGTATCTTCCACTTGCTGAATCCAAGTATCCAATGAATTGTAAGTATCTTTGTAGTATTTTAGAGATTTATTAATACCTTCTAAGTCACGCAGCCTGGTTTAATTTTAAAAGATATACCAGAAGGAGAGAAGGGAAACATAAAAGATAAAAGTCAAATATCAAGCTAAATATAACCTAGAATGCTTCAGGTGTCCTACTTTACCTAGTACATCGAATATACCAAAATAACAGTAAGTAAATAGTAAATTAACTTCTCAATCAATCAGCACAATTCCCAGCTTGATGCATCTTTTTAATCTATCATAAATGAAGCCCAGGAAAGACCTTATCATAAAAGAAACCCTGCATATATCCTCCATTAATGAGCTAAACATCATCTTGAGAACCCCAAGAACACAGTAATCCCTAAGCACGTTGCAGAGGAAGTCTCTGCAACAGCAATTAACACCATTTTGAAAAGTGGAAAAAGTGGCCTAGGTGACTCAACGAGGCAAAAGAACAGCTGTGCTGGAGCCAACTAGCAGCTCACCATAGTTTCTCTGCCTCTCACAGCACAATTGTAGCTATGCTAAAGCCTTTACGTATTCTAACATGCTAAACCAAATCATCCTGTTTAGTTAATTCCTTTCTAATTAAACCAAATCATCCTGTTTAGTTAATTAATTCCTTTCTAAACCATGTTTTTGACTTGAAAAAGATAGTGCTGTGTATTTCTTGGAAGTGCTTTCAGTGAGAAATTTCACTGATGAGAATACTGATCAGTTTTACTTTATGTTCCATATATAGTTACTTTAAAAATCACATAAATACAGTAAATCCAAAAGACTGCACAGATATGAAGATATTGTTATTTTTTTAATATTCTGATTTTGAACATATACTTTAAATCAAGATAGCATTGTTCTCAAGATGCCAAGAACAGAGTGAAAAAGAGCAAGCAAAGGAAACAATATTGCTTGGGTTCCACGGTGTAGCATATTTCCAAGCTAATAACCATAAGAGGAAGGAAGGATCATCAGAACCGAAGCCAATATTTGTACAAACTTTGATATAATGATAATTAGTGCCAAGCTGTTCGGAAGCAGCAGAGGGATGTTTGCAGAAAGCAGTTTGTTTACTGCTACATGCTGCAACCACCACAATCTGTCATTTTTTTGCTAGAAGTACTGTTTAAACAGTATTTTTTTAGCATATTCATTACTGAAGAAACTCCTAGGGGGAGAGTAGTTTGTTCATGTTTGCCCAGTAAAGAAATAAGGACACTTTGGCGTCTCACAAAACTACCCTTCAACTACTGTTCACTTTGACCCCCTCCCTTCTAACTTCTGACAACATTAAGTAGAGACAATCAAATGAGGTAATCATAAGTTAATAACTTGATTACTAGTCCTGAATGGATATTTGCTTCTTAAAAAGAGAGGATCAAAAAGTCAAAGGACATTGCGTGAAGTTTTAAGAAGTGTCAAAGAGGACATCTCTCCCTCTCAGAATCAGGGATAGGTGTGTTCTGCAACACATGAAAATCTGCATCATCCTTTGCATTTGAAAAACATTCTCCAGTATCACAGCAGCCAAATTGAAAGCTGAACTTACAGCAACAACACAAATAGTGAGACTGCATGAAAACAGCTGTACACTAGAAGCAAATGCGGGCACTTAGCCCTAAGCATTTACTTAATGCTAATTATTGGGACAAAACTACCACAAAAGTCAGGGGAAGCTGAGGATTTCCACATTTAGCTCCTCAGGTTTTAAGTACAAGCCAACGTGAATCTAAGCATAACTGATGAGGTAGCTCACCAGTTTAGCCTGTCAGAACTAATAATGTATGGAAACAGATGGCATTTCCATAGGACAGCAAGACACTTCTGTAGAATTTTTGGAAAAGAAAAAGGGCAATTTAACTGCACTGTATCTCAGTAAGTTTAAATAATGAATGTATTTCATAAATCTTAAAGTGCTTAAAACACACAGACACTTTCTGCAGAAAACTAAGACAAAAATTCAAGCACAAAAAAGCATCTCTGACCTTAAGACATTTCATAAATACCTAAAAAAAACCCATTCTGATTCATTTTGACATTAATTTCTCATTAATTTCCTCAGAAATATCAAGAACAGCATGAAACACAAAACAACTATATATGTAAAAAAAATACAAACCTATTTTCAATTTGAGAATGAATATTGTGCCACCTCTCAGCTAACTGATCAGCTTTTTCTTTGTGCCAGTCGAAGTCAAGATCACGTTCCTTGTGCATTTTAAACATTTGATCACTGATCATCTTTGCCTTCTGCAGCTCATCCTCTAAGGCATGGAATACTTCTCTCTTCTCATCTACTTCGGATCTCCATTGCTGGTATGTGACAAATGATAAAAGGTAAGCAATTCCTAAATGTTGGTACTATTTTGTAAATGAGTATCTATCTCACATGAGCAGTTCCTTCTGGCTGCTCATTGACTGGAACGATGTCAGCATGGGTTTGTAGCAACCAATTAGACACAAACTGCAAAATAATTCTATATAACACCACGCCCTACAACACCTGCACCAAATCAGAGCCAGAAAATTTGCATGGTCATCTGATGATTTACTACAGCTTTCAAAAAAAAATCACTCTAACAAAAAAGCATCACTCGTCAATTGCAATTTTAAAATGAGGTGCATACAGCACAGGACAAATGCTGAACTTCATTCTTACCACTTCTCAAAGATAACTGCCAAACCTCAGAGGCACAGTGAGCCAGGTATATAACAATAGATTTATGCTTGCTTAAGCATATGTTAGGTTTCAGCAGACAGAAAAACAGCAGCCTCATTTCAGCAGTAACAAATGGTACTGTGGGAGGCTTAGACCTTGAAAGGCATTTCCAAATAACAGAAATGCACGTGTCAACTACACAAATCTTAAGGTCCCAAAGATGCATTTTTTTCCAGCAGTTTCTTCCAAATCCACAAACCATCTTCTTTAAAAACTACTACCAGAACCAAAACAGCTGCTATATGAAAGAGTCCATTATTTTTTTATTTGCTCATGAAAAGGTTATCACCCAAATCTTACCTTTAATGTGCCCATTAAATTCTCAATACTATTTTTGTCAGCAGTCACTGTGTCTTCTTCACAGAGCTTAGTTTCATAAAGCTTTACTAGTGATTCTGCTCCTTGGGTGTTCTTAAGTACCAAATTTACTGTTTTTAATCTGAAAAAAGAGTAATCTCTCATTAACTAAACATGCAATAACATCAAAATACTTCATTTTTCAGTCTTCCCATGTCAGGGGGTAACTAGCAGCCCTTTTATACAGCATTAACATTTTTAACTCCCTTTCTGCTCATCCCTTATTCATACATATCTTTCTACTTAATTTATTTTGAAGAAAAAACTGTAAGCTAAAACTTATATGAGGGAAGATGACTAGTTACATACTTATCTATGTAAATGGAAGACATGGAATAAACTTGGTTCATATTCTGAATGACAACATTGAGTTCAGAGCGCAGAGTTGGGACTGAAGGTAAACCAGCAGCTTGACTGAAAAATTCTTCGCATTTATCTGTGATCACTCCCAAGTCATCTTTGAGTCCATCCAGTTCTTTCTTCAGTTTCTGAAAAATGAAAGGTAATTGAAAGTGCTTTTATCAACTTGATGTGTTCTCTACATATTATTACCAATATAGATAAAAAACACATAGAGAAAGTCAAACTTTTATTTATTGGCATCTTTTTCCTCACAAATCCAAAGATCAATTTTGCCTCTCATCCTTTCAAGGTGCACTGCTCCCCTCTCTGGCTACAGTCAATGATCTCGAGATACCTGGTTTAAAATGAAACTCATTTTGAGAAGAAAGTCTTCTGCAAGCGCTCACCTCTTGCTCTGAAATCCTAAACACACTTTCATGTAGATCATCCCTTTCCATTGGGGTTCTGATCTGCCGGATCAACCGCTCCTCACAGCTCTCCAGGCGAAGTCTGATATTTCTGACTTCTGAGATGTAAAGATTATAAATAGATTCCTCATGCTCCTCTGTTAAAGGTGTTAAAGGGGAGAAAAAAAGCCACATTTAACTGTTATTTAGATTGTTGCTTTGCACTTCCATCTACGACCTTTCATTCTGAACACAGGCACCATCTCTTATGCAGACACTGCTAAACTTGAAGACCGATTCTTGCAGTCAGTGGTATCAGGTGTAATAGCACAGCAGGCCTCCAGGGACCTTTTTTTCATCTTCTCTTTCAGACACACAGGACAATACATTTTACCTGAGAACAGCAAACTGCTCAAACAGTCATCAGTTCTGCACTAAGTTCCTCTAAGTCATTAAGCACTTGTCAGTAACTCAGAATAGATACTTTTAGGTTTAGGTGCTTGTTGTATTTTTTTTTTTAAAAAAAAGTTAAAATGACAGTAGCTAAAAATAATTTCTGGGAATATGTAAATGTTAACTGCTATTGTGTAGCCTACATTCTTGGAGGTAATTTTTTGTGACACTGTGTGTTAAGTAACATTCGCATTTTTACACAGGTTAATAAACCTATATATATAAAAACATTCTTTAACTTTCTGTACAATGTAATTGTGCCCAATGTCAAATGATGGCTCTTTATCCGTCTAGAATTACTACATTAACAAGATCTATATGATAAAACTGGGCATTCACTACAGTCCACATTTAGATAGCAGATTCTATTACGAACTACAACCTCTGCTGTGGTTACCTTTTCCTTTTCTCAGCAAAGTGTTTTACCTCTTTCTGCAGATTTCAGAAGTTCTTCATAGTACTGCTTGCAAACATTAACCTCCCTTTCCAACTGGGCTGTATCGGAGCTGGTAAAGATTTTGGACTCCTGGCTATCTTCCACAAAGTCATCAAAGCGGGACTGCAGATTGCTTAATACCTGCTGATGTTCACCTGGCAACATTGTTTTTATCTGCAACAGACAGATTATAAACCCAAGGACAAGTCAGCAATGATGAAAAATTCTGACAGCTGCCTGCGAGACCTTCTTTATTTATTTATTAAATCTAAAACCAGTATTTTCTGATCTGCTAAATTAAAAAAGAGTTTTGATCATCCTCCACAAAAAACTCAGTAATATATGGGAACTGCGTGGGCAAGGAAAACTGCCAATACTTCCCTCAAAGTGCTAATGGCAGATGGCTGCTTTTAGGCTAGAGTTCACTTGATGGAAATCAGAACATTAGCTAAAAAAAGAAGTTTACTCTAAAATTCTTCTCCACCTTTAAAGCCAGTATTAACTCTGCATTAAGCCACCCGCATGAGAGACCATTTCTCTACCTGTGCCATATGGCAAAATTTGGGCAGCCAGCAACAGCTTCAGAAGAAGGGCCATTTCCACAATGATTTCACACTGCCTCTTTCAAACAGCAACTGGAGAAATTTGGAGTGAATACATCATTTGGGGTATTACAGATTCTAATGCAACAGCTTGAAGGCAGGTTTTTGCCAGTCTTGTCATATGCCAAATAATAAAGTATTATATTAAATAGTGTCATGCTGTACATCTAATACTGTAAATGTCAGCAATCTCACAAGGTTCTTTTAGCCAGAGATAATGATATTTTTACCTGTATCAGAATTTTGTTTCTAATCACTTGATACCAATCAGCTACTTAACTGTTCAAACTATAGATAAGCATGAGTGAAAAAAATAACATAATGAACATTCAAGAGTAAATGCTTCATTTCTCTAAGAAGTTGCACTATAAAGAAATAAGGAGGGACAGAAGGGAAGGGTAGAGGGAGATGCCACAGAGAATATCCTTAGCCTAGTGAATCTAATGCCTCTCCCCAGATCTCTTTAACATTTTTGCTTTCCAGAGATCCTGTCCCTCAAGGGAGAAAAGGACGAGCATAGGCAGATTAACACTAAGGCTAAACTTGCTTTAATGATATAACCTCCGTGTGCCTTCCTAACATGCACCCAAGCATGCATCATGCTGGCAACCTGTGTGGTCAGGACCAGCTACTTTCACAGGAAAGACAAGGGTTGCTGTAAAGTGCTGATTACAGCACAGGGTACCTGGGTAGCACAGCCTGTGGCTGTCCAGCACGCGGCTAAGAGCCCCCCGCAGCAGGAGGGCCAGCAGGGCACGTACCGAGGCCACGTTGCCCGCGCGCACCGCCTCAATGGCGCTCGTGAGGTACCGCCAGGAGACCACGCTCTTCATGTTCACGTGAGAGTCGTGCCACAGGGCCAGAACGTTCTGGAACTGCTGCTCAATCCTGGAACGCAGAAAGACAGACTCCCATTTTAGGTTAGAAAACCTGCTTTACACTGGAATCACTTGGGACGTGAGGGGAAAAAAAACAGGCATTTTAACCTGAATTTCATATAAATGAATTTAAAAAGAGAACTGTTTCCTTGGCTCTAACACAAGGGGACTGCTGTTTCTCTACATAAAGAAACAAGCACATTTGTATTAAAAATACATTACAGCTACATACTTCCTGCAGTTTTCATTTTGCCCCTACCTGTTGGCTGTATCTATTGCTTCTTTGTTTGGTGGAGGAACTGTAAAGCACACAGATGGAACCATGGCTTCGTTACCACTCGGGCTAATGACTTTCCATTTAGCACGATGCGAGTTGTTTGCTAACACACATTCATCGTCTTTGTAAATAGTTATCTAATATTAACAGAAAAGCAGAACAATTCAATGAGCTAAGCATTCAGAAATACTTCTAAAAAGCACTTTTGTAAGCAGTGTCATCAAGTAAGCAACAGAGCAACAAAAACCAACAAGGCAACAGAGGGATTTGCTGCTGTTTATGAATGTGGAAGACATTTAGAGCCCAGTGTTTCCCAGGAACGTGGTAATTAATTAAACTTTAGCTGAATTCTCATGTCTGTGATTGATCTTAGGATATTCAAAGTTCTAACCTCAATTTGTCTATAGTCACAGATGGCTTTAATTGGGATGGATGTTTTGAGTAGACAGTCCGGATTCCTTGGCTTCAGCTGAATTATTGCCTTTGCTCTTCCCACAAGGCCTGCCACTGTGCTCTTATACTGTAAGAGCTGCTCTTTTTCTTCCTAAAAACAGTCAAGCAAAGAACACATCATGAAAGGTGGCCAGAACCCAGTGCTGGTTTTTTGATGCTATTAGCTTTTTTCTGATTTTTTTTACTATGTTTCTTAAAAGTAATGCATTTTACAAGAACAGAAGTACCGTTCTGAAGTCAGTGGTTTCCCACAACATTTGCTATTGTAAAATTAATTAAATAAATAAATATTTAAAGGGCATGAAAAGCAGCCACTAAACAAGGACAATTGTGGCTATTTAATTAGAAGTTCTAAAATGGTCATTTTTTATTCCTTCCCTTTAAGAGAGTAATTGCAAAGCATGGATTTCAAATCCAACTACAACCCATAGAACACTTTACTAACTATAACTCATATTAGTAAGATCTTTACATTCTTTTTCTTACCATTGATTCCTGGACAAGGTCTTCCAGCCTATGAAGGCTGCTGGATCTATCACAACTGTATTTTCGGTATATGGCATCCTTTAGATTCTTTAAATAGTCCATGGCCTCTTTGGCATCATTGAAAAACTAGGATGAGATAAATATTTTGATTATTCTTAAAAAAACTGAAAAGTATACAAATAGCTACACTAAAAAGTGTCTTTTTCTTTTTATTATTTTGCCTTTTGAAATTGTTTTTTTTTTTCACAGTAGTTTGAAGTAACTGGTGTACCACATGACAGTATTCGTGATCTCATGTCTAAATGTCCACTCCAAGGAGGCACCCACCTTTGCTACTTCTTGGAACATGAGTTACTTGCTCTGCTATCTTTATGCATAACTCATTCAGCAGTTGCTGAGCATTAGGCAAGTACTGTTCCTGCAGGGTAAAGATTTTCTGAAATGATTGTTACCTTCCTTGGAATTATAATTACTTTCACATATAAAGCACGTACGAAGTTTCTAAACTGCAGCAAACAAGCTACAGAACTGAGTAGGAGTGCCCATGCGGGGAAAGAGGGGAAATGAGCTGCAACCCTTGGCACTACAACACTGTGTGTGCATCTCTACCCCCAAACTGGGGTCGTGGATGAGGTGACTGGGGAGGGAAAGTCCTGTGATAATCCTTACCCCCTCTATCCCTGAAACCTCATTTCTCAAACCCAGAATTCTCATTTCTCACTCCTACCAGAGGAAGCTAAAATGTCCCAATTTTGTCTTTTCCTTTACCCCTCTTTCCAGACCTTTGGCTCTCACCCTTCTCAGTCCTAAAGGAATCTCATCCCAACACCTTCTTCAATCACCCATGCCAGAAGACACTAAAGATACTTATTTGGTAAATAGATGATGTTTTTCTAAAGAAAAAAACCCTTATTTCTTCCACGCTCATGTATATTATTGAGTCGTGCATCATTTGCTGAGTACACAGAGTTATAATCAGTAAAGCAATTTCTTGGACATCTCTCTTGTTGGGTTATTCTCTGCACTGCTTACTACTAATGCTGTATGTTCCAGATCTATCTGGTTAGACCAGGAACCAGCACCTAGATATTATTCCTTGGCGTTCAGTAACCAGCCTCTTTTCTACACCCGATCACAGAAGCTTTATCCACTGCACTTCTGCATGAAACATACAGAACTTGGCTTCATTATCAGGTTCTATTTCCACATGCACCTATGTCAATTGGCAAAAACATCTCACCAGATTTTCATCTGCTGTAAACCGATGTAAACTGTAGAAAAGACAATGCCAGTGTGCTATCTTATTGTGGGAGTATGCCTCATCTAACAACTGTATATGACAAATTTCAGTTTCACAGCTATGGTGAGAGAAGATCTAGAATTTTCAGTGAAACTTCTGGACTATTATCATAAGACATTCACATTTGTACTGATTCATTTTCTTACCTCGAAATATGCAGCATTTTCTCTCAAATGTTGTTCAACACAATGACAGAGCTGCAGAATCCAGCTCCACTGTGTCTGCATTGCAGCTCTATAGGCCTGTTAGGGGGAACAAAGAGGTGTTACAAAAGGAAAAAAAAAAAAAAGAATATGTTTTGGATTCAGGAGAAAAAAGTAATGTTGCATCTAGACCTGATATCCCTACCCTTGAAAAGTGAGTTGCCACTAAAACAAATCTCCATTAGACATGAGCACTGAATATATACACACACAGAGAAAATGTTTTTGTGTAATATTTGTAAGAATTTGTAAAACTGTAGCATTATGAGAAGGATGTGTCCTACGCTGCCTGGTAATGCTGTCCCTAGAGATGCACTGCACCAATAATCACCAGTAGAGGGTACTCTTGACATCTCTAAAGCAGGCAAAAATCTCAATTTCTGAACTCTCAAAGTGAAGTTAAAGGAATCTTTTTGTCCACTTTAATGATTCTCAGACTGAGCCATCAATGCACATAGATTATTCTGCAATGGTGACAATAATTCTTTAAATATTTTTTTTAAGAATTTTTTAAAGGTGTCCCCACAACATAATATTATTGCAGACATAAAAACCTACACACATGCAATGGCCTGGTTTCATAATATCTATGTTTAATATATTCATATATGAATATACTACACCAATAAATGCACATTAGTAACAGCATATAGTTTTAAATTATATAATCCCCTATACTACATAAAAAAGTTACTCAGGGTATGGAACATAAGGAAAGGGGTTAGGGTTTCTTCATCACAATTTTCTGCTGTTACGATCTTTACCCCGCCACTGCCAGTATTTATTCTTTTCTTGAAAATCTACAGTGAAAATTAATTGACATTGGAAACTCATTATAATGCTACAGTATCTACAATAATTTTTTGATAAAGAGATAATTTGATTCAAGCCTGAAATAAACCACATTACCTAGTAACATTCTGACGTCCAAGCAAATTTTGTAATTTATTGACAAAAATATCCAGGAAAGTAGTCCTAAAACTCAGCAGGA